AGCGGGCGAGCCGCCCTGAGCCGAGATCAAAATTTATATACAAATGCAAAGAGGGAGACAGGACAAAGAAAATTGCAACTCCACGTCCATCAACCTTAGCTTCCTCTTCCTCTTTCTCTCTCTCCGATGCAGACAGTCTGTCAATACGCACCAACCCACGAAGTCGTCACCCCGCTTAGTCCTCTTGCACCGGTCAGGTTTGTCCGCGCGCTACAGTTTGTCGTAGCCTCACGCGTCAACCCCGCGCATTCAGGACCAGCTCGTCGGGTCACCCAACTCCCACTTCAACTCACCTCCTACTTCGCTTGTGAGCCGACCCTCACTGATCGCGCTACCCCGAGTTTCCAACAGCTGGTTAAGAGAGTTATCTAATAGCGCAGCCAGAATTTATAGCGTACATGCATGCGCGAAGAACACGGCATTGCAAGGACTTAGAAAGGAGATTAGGAGAGGGAGCGCCTACGTTTTGCATGGCCAGACCGCGGCGTGGGGAACGTAGCCACGCTCCACACATCGATCCGAGCATGCAGGCTGCGGGGCTAACTAGGCACAACGAAAGGGAAAGAGGGAGCGGGAAAGACGAAGTTCAAGACAAAAGATACAGTTACAATGGCGCCTGCCCAAAAATTATAGTTACTTGCAAGATTAAGGGCGCCGACTAATCAGAGCTCCGTTGCAGCCGCAAAAAGAAGCGCGCAAGAAAGACAACGCGTGACAAAAGAAATTTCGAATTTTTAAATTCCCAAATTTCTAAATTCCTAGCTAATGCAAAAAGAAGCACAAATTCCGAAAAGAAAATCCGAAGTTCCGAGAGCCGTTAAGGGCTCGACAAGATTCAAAAAAGAATTAAAAAAGAACGAAGCAAAATATCCCGCGCGACCTCCGCACCTAAAACCTGACAACAGAAAAGGAAAGAAGTGACATCAATCATTATTAATCGCGCCTTGTCGGTGCGACAGCCACTCAATCGGCCATCTCGGGACTTGCCCGGCTCTGAACTTTGTCGTCCGAAAAGAAGCGATGAAAAGAGAAAAGACAAAAAAGCGAGGACACTGATGCAATTTTCCTTCGATCCCGATCTCCCGTAATTGGCCCAACCTTCCCATCTTAAGACCCCTCATTGTCATCGCGCAAAAACAACAGAAAAAATGCGGCAAATTTTATGACAGGATGATCACATGTGGGCACCACATTTCAACCGTTGGAACTGTGTTTATAAACCTTTTGGCGAGGGGGTGGTAATGTGTTCCACCAAAAGTGAAGGAAACCAACGTTGACCAAACATTGGGAAAACTGAAACTGGTGTGTACATTTTTTGGTCCATTTGTTGAAAGGATGTTGGTTCATCTGTTGACCATTTGTTGACAACTTGTTGAAAACTTGTTGAAGACTTGTGGAGAACTTGTTGAAACGTGTTCAAAACGTGTTGAAACGTGTTGAAACGTGTTGAAAAGTTGTTGAAACGTGTTGAAAAGTTGTTGAAACGTGTTGAAAACGTGTTCACCTTTCGTAGAACGTTACATTCTGTGTTGGGGGAAAAAATCTCACGTCGTCGGTTTTCGCGGTTTCCTCCAGTCATTTTCTCCTGCTGCACGATATCATATGGTCTTTTGCAAATGTCAATCGTTGAGTCTTTCAGTACTCTTGACATGCAACGACCACAATGACTGAAGATAAAGAGAGAGTGTCACATACACACACACACACACACACACACACACACACAGAGAGAGAGAGAGAGAGAGAGAGAGAGAGAGAGAGAGAGAGAGAGAGAGGGAGAGATGGAAGCAGGGTTCACTACTGCGTGACACAAATTCACCAACATGGCAGTGCGAGACAGACATTGGCCCGTAGTAGCCAACCTTTGTTTTTGATTGGTGTTGGATTGCAGTATTTCATTTTGTTGATGGACGCATGAGGGCGCGTCGATTAAATGCCGAGTTGCCCTGCTACAAGCACGGTTCACTACTGCGTGACACAAATTTACCAACATGGCAGTCCGCGAGAGAGAGTGACACGCAGTAGCCAACCTTCTTTTTCGAGTTTGTTGGATTGTTGTACTTCATTCTATGGACGAACGCGTGTGGGAGCCTTAATTAAATGCTGAGATGGCCTGCTACAAGCACGGTTCACTACTGCGTGACACAAATTTAGCAACATGGTGGCATGAGAGAGAGAGTGGCACGCACTAGCCAACCTTGCATTGAGGATAACCACGGATGGTGTTTTTTTCATAACATAGTCGCTCTATGACCAATCACACAAAGATGAGCATTACAAGGGATTGTACAATTGTGTATCATAAATAACAGAYCATATGTTGTAAAGTGACTGTTCAAGTGCCATGGTTCAGAGTCTTCATCTCCCCGCCCTCTCTCTCTCTCTCTCTCTCTCTCTCTCTCTCTCTCTCTCTCTCTCTCTCATGGAATGACCGTGACCTTGTGTAATGAATCTTCTGATTCACAGATTCCGTAATGAACCTTCTGATTCACACTATTCTGTTCACCACCTCTTCCCCCCCCCCTGCTGTTCAAGGTCTGGCGCACAGACTTTTTGTATCACTCTCCCCAACTCTGCTTCTCTCATGCAGCGGTGCAATGAACTCCAGGTCGAAATCGTCATCCGTTATTGTTGTGTTGTGTGACCCACTCCTGTGGACAGAGGGCACGTCAGCTCGAAATAGTGCAGCAGCCTTCTCAGCAACAGATACGGCACGGTCCAACTTGAAGATCGAAAAACTCATGACTGTATCGCGGTTGCGGACAGATGATGCGATGTCCTGCTTTATAGAGACCAATTTTCCTATCTGCTCCGCCGCTTTGCTGATCTTTGTTGTCTGCTCGATTTCACATTGCAGAACCATCTTTGCAAAAGTCAAGGTTTACGTCGTCCCTCCTCATCTGGAAAACCTTGGCGAGTGTCGTCTTGAAGGTTGGGGCGCCCCAAGGATCGTTGCCGCTCCGTCTCCACGTTTTGTTCTCCTTCATCTCTGCTCGCATCTTGTTGCGAGTAGGGAGCTGGTGATCTGTTTGCTGCGATCGTACAAGCGGGATCCCTTTTTCAGTCCAGAACCAATGTTTCAGTTGCCATGTTATCCCTCCATGCATCGATATTTTTGGCTCACGAGATTCACTGCACCTATACTTGATGGTCCGGCGTCATCGACCACACCCATCTCCTGGCCATGTGTTCTTTCGTCTGCCACGACCGGGCATGCCCTCGCACGATGTGAGTTCAAAGTTCGTAATGACATGAAAAACCTGCCACAGTCGCACACCCGTGGACCGCTGTCCATTTTTTGTGCATGCAGTGCATTCGAAAAACAAACAGAGCGGTGCGGACAGTGTTTTCATTAGCATTTTTTACATTGGTTCAGGTCGTTAGAATTATAAGTTGCAGAGCATATTTTGTTATATTGTGTAAGTGTCGCACATCCTCTTCTCTGTGAGAAGAGATAGAGAGGGAGTACTGATTGCCGTTTTTGGTACGAATGGTCTGTGTCGCTGATCCCAATTGACAAAGATTAGTAGTCAACCGTGCGACACGATAATTTATATGCCATGACAGGTTCTATGGTCGTGTAGGAAGAGGCAACGACTTACGCATGGTACACGATATATGACACAACATTCATCACCACGTTTGTGAGGCTGCCCAAGTTCGTAACTATCCATCCACGACGTTTGTGAATGTGGTATGTGTTTTCCATGTCCGCGTGAAAATGATTGCACCTCGGCACCTCAACCGACCTCCGCACAAACTTTCAAAACATTTTACAACCTATTACATTTGAATTTAAATTACAAAGAATGAAAAAAAAAAATGCATCATACACACATTGGTCATCACAAGAGGTCTGATTTGTCTCACGTACTCCAAAAGACAACAAATTATGACATACATCGTAACAGTCATCAAATGATTGAAATATTGTTCAATCCTGTGTCTGCACGATGTAGTGAACCGCATGTACTTGGAGAGGCAAACAACAGGCAACATTAAATGTAACTCGCAGATGGATGTAGAGGTTCTAATATAGCTACTACTCGACATATGAGAAAGAGAGAGAAAATATATATATATATATATATATATATATATATAGAGAGAGAGAGAGAGAGAGAAGAGGTTCACTAGTGCGGGCCAAAACGACAAGAAACAGCACCGGTGGACACTGATATGGCACGCAGTAGTGAACCCGACCGTCGTTGAAATTGAGGCAGACATAGAGGGATGTACAGGTTGAGGAACTTGAGGGATGCATGTCTGTCATCATCCCTGATGTCTAACATGGTCTATCATGGTGTGTGGGTGTGTCTCCGGTCACTGCCGTGGCCGAGCACTAACTATTGCGTCTCCTGTTGACAAGCCGGGGTGCAATATCTCTCCTCAAGCTGTCACCATTGCATCGTGTATGAGGCAACTCAGGTTCACTCCCCATGTCAGTGACGTTGCTAGCACAATCTCTCTATTGACCAGAACAAACCATCCCTTGCCAACACGTGACCACTTTTTCCCCTTGTTGCATGATTTCATTATGCTGGTCACTGCGGCATACTATAGTGCATCATCTGTTGTTGCCCCCTTCATCACAACACGCAATACTTTGTGCGGATCGGGAAAAGCACGTGCCAACCTCATAATTGCATGTGCCCACCCTTTTGTCACTTGTCCACCCGCCCCCTTCAAATCATAGTATACATCATGTTCCTCGTCTTCCTCGTCGCTGCAGACATCGCAGCCACTCACGTCCACATCAGAAGATGATGCCCCCTCATCCTCTTCTTCATCTTCTTCTTCTGCACTGTCTGTGTACTCTGCACAACAACTTGGCAAATCAACCTCTTCAAATCCAAGATCACACTGTTCTTTCTCCATTGTGAAAGCATTGAAGATATCGCAACACACTAGCTCCTCTCTCGTTGTTGTCTGCGTGAGAGGCACATCGACTGCCATACTGGTTATTGATTCTTGTGCTGCTGATGTCTGTCCGTTGTCTGGAATGATTGCTAAATTTGTTTCCATGACCATCACCTTCCACCCTTATTCTCTTTCTCTTTGTCTCTCAATATCGCAACTTGCAAGACCGAGCCGCTCCAAAGCAGCTGATAACAACTCCCCCTACAACGGTCTGCCAGATATGATGTTGTCTTGTGTTCTTGCTGGCACAAATTCTATCAGATCTTGACCCTGCAGTGCAAACTCTATGACTTCGTGCAACGCCTCATGGATGACGTTCCTGTCGTCGTCACTTTTTTTCATGAAGTCCACAAGTTGATCCAGCAGAATATATTCTACACCATCTGCGACAATGACAAAAACATCTTGAAAGTCTTCTAGCGGTGTTTGTGTAATGTCCTTCATTCTAGACAACACGAATATTTCTGCAGCACCACTCTTCAACTCGTTCTTCGACCCATCAACCAACATTCCCCCATTCCGTGCCACAGTGCCCAACAACTTGCCCAACTTCGCAGGTGTATATGTCCCCCCTGTCTGCTGCATTGTCATGTCCACGTCTCCTTCTTCGCACATCCCTTCGCTGTAGATCCACTGGACCACTCCTTTTAGACTGTATGCACCGTCTTCCACATCGCTGTCCACACGTACATGTAGTGACTCTCTGAAGCGTTGCAAGAGTGTTCGTGCTTTGATACAATCCTCATCGTTTGCCATGATTGTGGATCTCATATCCACAGCGACTAAGAAGTACCTCGGCCCCCTGTCTTGAAGCAAAAATAACTCGCTGTCACTGTTGTAGTAGACGCCCTCCTTTGCATACTCCATTACCTTTGCAAGAGCAGTCTCCACCTGTGCTACTGACATCGACATGATGCGTACGGTTTGTCCTTCGTCCTCTTCTCTCTGCCAGCGGAAACGCACAATGACGTCATCGACATGTGTGTGTGTGTGTGTGTGTGTGCGGCGTCCATGTATGAACCTATGTGGATGTCTGTGTGTCTTTGTGTATATGTCTATGGATGTGTGTGTATAAATGGTATGTGCTTATGTCTGCGTGTCTGTTCCCAAGTTGGCTACTGCGTGCCATTCGAAGTCGCAACGGTAATCATTCGTCAGTTTCTGACATGCAGTAGCTAACTTTAAGGGTGCATGCCAGAATGTGTGTGTGTGTGTATGTGTGTCTTTCTGTATATGCCTGTGTGTGCGTGTGCATTTGTTATGCGTGTTTGCTTGTGCATGTGTTAGCGTGTTCGACTTCAGGTTGGCTACTGCGTGCCATTTAAAGTCACAGCGGTAATCATTCGTCAGTTTCTGGCACGCAGTAGCCAACTTTAAGCGTGCATGTCAGAATGTGTGTGTGTGTGTGTGTGTGTGTGTGTGTGTGTGTGTGTGTGTTTGTGTGTGTGTCTTTCTGTATATGCCTGTGTGTGCGTGTGTGTATTTCTTATGCGTGTTTGCTTGTGCATATGTTAGCGTGTCCGACTTCAGGTTGGCTACTGCATGCCATTTGAAGTCACAACGGTAATCATTCGTCAGTTTCTGGCACGCAGTAGCCAACTTTAAGGGTCCATGCCAGAATGTGTGAGTGTGTGTGTGTGTGTGTGTGTGTGTGTGTGTGTGTGTGTGTCAACTTTAAGGGTGCATGCCAGTTTCTGGCACGCAGTAGCCAACTTTAAGGGTGCATGCCAGAAAGAAAGAGAAAAAATGAAAGAAAGAAAGAAAGAAAGAAAGAAAAAAGGAAAGAAAAAAAGAAAAAAAGAAAAAAAGAAAAAAAGAAAAAAAGAAAAAAAGAAAAAAGCATGTTAGACAAAGAAAGAAAGAAAGAACGAAAGAGAAAGAAAGAGAAAGAAAGAAAGAGACAAACAAACAGAAAGACACACAGGCAAACAGACAAACAGACAGACAGACAGACAGACAAACAGACTGACAGACACACACACACACACACACACACACACACACACACACACCATTGAACTTACAGACTTTGATTCTGGTTCATCCACTTACAAACCAGACAGACAGACACACACTCAGACAGACAGACAGACAGACAGACAGACAGACAGACATACAGACAGACAGACAGACAAACAAACAAACGGACAGACAGACAAACACACACACACACACACACACATACAAACAGAAAGACAAACAAACTTTGATTCTGGTTCATCCACTTACAAACCAGATAGAAAGACACACTGACAGACAGACAGACGGACAGATAGACACACACACACACACACACACACACAAACATACAGAGAGACAAACAGACGGACAGACAGACACACACACACACACACATACACATACACAGACAGAAGGACAGACAAACTTTGATTCTGGTTCATCCACTTACAGACCAGACAAACAGACAGACAGACAGACAGACAGACAGACAGACAGACAGACAGACAGATTAGGAGACAAACAGACAGATTAGGAGACAGACAGACAAATAGACAGACAGATAGACAGACAGACAGACAGACAGACAGACAGATTAGGAGACAGACAGACAAACAGACAGACAAATAGACAGACAGACAGACAGACAGATTAGGAGACAGACAGACAGACAGACAGACAAACAAATTAGGAGACAGACATACAGACAGATAGATTAGGAGACAGAAAGTCAGATTAGGAGACAGACAGACAGACAGACAGACGGACAGACAGACACACACACACACACACACACACACACACACACACACACAGACTTACAGACAAACTTTGATTCTGGTTCATCCACTTACAGATCAGACAGACACACACACACACACACACACACACACACACACACACACACACACACACAGACACACACACACACACACACACACACACAGATAGACAGAAGGACAAACTTTGATTCTGGTTCATCCACTTACAGACCAGACAGACAAACACACAGACAGACAGACAGACAAACAAACAAAGACACAGAAAGAAAGAAAGAAAGAAAGAAAGAAAGAAAGAAAGAAAGAAAGAAAGAAAGAAAGAAGGAAAGAAAGACGGAAAA